TATCCCCCATATATAACTTATTTCACCTTTTATATAGTCATCCTTTTTAGCCCTAATGACATATGCTTTTAGTTGCACTTTAGTTGCGCTTTGGTTGCGTTTTGGTTGCGCTTTGGTTGCGCTTTGGTTGCACTTTTTGCTCATTCACTAGTTTATGAATATTTACCCTTTTATGCTTACGAAATCATTAATATCGCTAAAGATTACCCTTTACATAACAATTTCATACATATACAACCATATTCATACAAAATAACCAAAATAAACTAGAATACATGTGATCATAAACATAATCAAGAAGAAGTGCAATAAGAAAATATTTACTAATTCTTATAATCTTGTTTAGGTATCTCACCTCGTTCTCTAGAGAAGTCGGGTCAGTTCGTTCTCCTAAAGTACCCTTGCCTCCTTTCCTTTTATATACAATCTAAATCATAATTGTTGATCATTCAAATTTACATTCAAATAACATATAATAATTTATATGAAAATCTTATAAGTTTACCTCAAAGAAGTTTTTCTTCATTCACCCCAATGTGACCTCTCTTCTTCTAAGTCTCCTTTCTTCACTTTCCCTCCCAGTTACACCAACTTAGCCTGCATCAGTTTCCACCACTCTTCTGCACAACCAGCTTCAGCATTTTATTGAATTCCAACAACTAGATTTCAAAAATTTATTATCTGAAATCCTCCTTCAAAGCATCTCACAGCAGCAGCCTCAACAAGTGGCTTCCGCTACTCAGCTTGAAGCTGGCTTCCGATGTCCAAGGAGGGACGGGTGGGGAAAAGAAGCTAATGTCTCCACATAATAAATCACATTATAATAACTCTTCTAATTCCACTAAACCTTCTCAGTCATTCTCAGCCCTAGGATTTCCATCAGCTTCATGCATGTCAGTTTAAGTGGAATTGCTATAGTAATTGAGTGGAATTGCTACAGTAATTGAAGTACATGCTATTAAATAATTCCCTAATACTTAGCTTTTAATCTAGCTGTCATTTAAACAATAAACTATAACTAAATACAATCAATTAAACAATTAATTTCATAATTTAAAAAAAATGCTTGGAATTCAAGTAAATTGTATATAAAAATAAGCTCACATTTAGAGGAAGTTGATGCTTACATTATTTTAAATATATTTGAGAGCCTTATAGGAAGCCTGGGGTATTTGAGATGGGGATCAAACTCATTCATTAGCATTGTACCTTCTTTTAGTTTGTTTCTTAGGAGTTAAGAATGGATTCTCCTCCGCTCTCATAGTACTTTTCACACAACCCTTGGCCTTATCTTAGGATTCAGGACTAGCTAGGAGATGGATTACACTACTTTTAGGTCTTTAAGACCATAGTTTTGGCATATATTTGAGAACCCTTTGTGATGATATATCTCATCTCTGGGTGGCATATATGCATTACACGTGGGCTCTTTATAACATCTAATTATGAACTCATAAATTATAAAAGATAAAATAAAAAGATGTTAAATCATTAATGACTTAAATTGGAATCACTCCTGGTTAATAAATTTAAACTTATAAATTGAACACCACATGCTTAATTAGATCAACACTCTCAATGACTTAGGACGCACTAGGTGTTGTGATAGACATATCCCGTAAGCATCATAGGGCTAGGATATGGTTAGAATTTTTTTTTTCATGCATATTATGAGGTGATGGTTTGATTGAAAGTGATGTTTTGGCTTGTTTCTTCTGGATTGATGATGTGATGTTGTGGGCATTTGTCCTTAAGTGATTAAGATAGAAATATATGCATCTTGTTTTACTTTGCAAGTGGCCATGCTTATAAAAGGGCAAATAAAGTTTATATAATTATGCATAATCAATCTTAACTTGCAGGTGCTATCATAATAAGCTCAAGCCCTAAATAAGCATGGCCAATATGGGCTATGGATATAGCTTGGCACTATCTTATGTCAGGCATTGTGTAGATATACAATTTATTGCACTAACTTTATCTTCTCTTGTAGGGATAACCTATAATTTTTTCAATCATCTAATTTTAATTTAGGAAAGCTATGTAATTATGTGGACTATTTCAAAAGGTAGGGGGCCAACTGCTAATGTACATTGAAGCATTCAAGGCCCCGCATATCATTTCATTGATATATAGTTTTAAACTGAGTTATAGTTATGGTAGAGCTCAACTATTTTTATTTCCTAGGGTGTATTATAGAACTCAACTGCACTTCTGATATTTCATTTATTATTTTATTCTTTGATGATTTGTGTGTTCATTTTTTATTGTTCACTAGAATTGCATGATTTTTTTTAGGTTTCTTTAATTATTTTGCTTGGGAGTGGCCTGAATATTTGTCCTCATTAGGCTCTTAGAATGTTAAACTTTCTACCTTAGGCAACCAATTGACTTAAAAAATAATCATAGAAAAAAATAATAATATTTTCCTTAAAAAATAAAAAATGCATGGCTTTCTTTAAAGCTACTTTTTAAAATAACAATCAACCCAACCCTAAGTCAGTAAAAAACCCAAACTGACACCCACATGCATAGCCCAATGAGTCTTTGGGATACATATTTATGGTTATATGTATATTTATCTTTTGAATCTATAAAGAGAATTGTTTTCTATCTCCCCAAGGATAATACAGTTCCACTCTTTACAAAGCATGCAAAAGAGAAATATATGTATAATCAACATGCCTTCCATTGAGCCCATGAGGGGGGTTTGTTTCCATCTCCCAAAGTGGTACATTCTCTCATTCCCTTTGTGGTGTCTTTCGAAGCTCACAATTATCTATTGCAAATGTTGTTACCATACTTAGCCAAGACATACAAAAATGCCTTAAAAGAAAGATGCCAAAAAAATATCAGTGAATATATCTCAGATTCTCTTATCTTTGCAAGTTGTTAAAATAGTGAGAAATTAGAAATCAATAATACGAGTTCAAAAGTATAGCCACCAAGAAATTAAAATAGCAGCCCAAAACGTAACCACAACTATAAGTTCATAAAAGTCTAGAAGCAAAAGTAGCCGATCCAGGCATTTGTAGAACATTTTAGCATTTTTACGACACGCATAAGATGTTAAAAATTCACTATGGAATCAATAAAAAAAGTCTTGTGATGGAGAGAGGCAAAGAAACTTTTAATCAGTTTAGCTTGCACACATGTATGTGTGAAAGTATCCATGCATGGACAGTTGGACACCATGTGCGTCGGTGATATGAATAAATATTCTCCATTTAATGAAGGTGAAATGTAGCCTAAAAGATAATATGGGTCTCCAATGGAAAAATAGATGTGTAAGGGTAAGTCCTAAAAACCAAAAACAAATACATAGCAAGTAATTCATAATGTTGAAATAGAACTCAAACAAAATGTGAAATTATGCGGGGAAAAAAAACCTATAAATGCACCGTGAAAGATTAGGTGCTCTCCCATTGTAAATTAATTTTCTTCAATCTCATATTAAGCATAGCATTAAACAAACCTATCTTAGATGAGGTTTAATTATGCATAAATAACATGGCCAGAAAATGGAGGTTGAGACATGATTCAACCAAAGAAGATCTCCCAAAGATTGCATACCAAAACATAAAGGGCATTCCACCTCTTTGCTTACGTCCTCTAATTTAACAAGGACATACCTGTAAAAGTAAGATTCATAAATCATTTAGTGTAGAGTAAAAGATAAAATGCCGTGAAAATGTTGAAAAAAAAAAAACAGTTAACCAGAGATGTTAGATGTAGATTTTGAGAATGTACAATCAAGATATATTGAAAATGTTAAGGGTGCATTGTCCTATGGGAACTAATTTCTATGAATCATAAATTTATTCTGAAAAGAAAGATAAAAAAAAGAGAGCTATTCCGAGAAGCTTGATATGGCTAATGAAGATGGATTGAGAAAGAAAGTCTTCCTCGGCTGCGACTTGCGTTCCTGCATAGAGAACAGTAAGATAGAACAAGAGCAGCGGAGAAGAGGAAGAACTGTCTGTAAGAAAACCACCATGTGTTGTATTAAATATTGCTAAGGTATGTATACTAGTGTGTAATGAGTACAGTTTTGCACATGACAGAGGTTTGTTGCAAAAGAAGGGTTAAGATTGTTTGGTTTGTTAAAAAGTAGAAGAGAGGATGAAATTTATAAAAAGGGATGTAGATTAGGTGGCCCGCTTATTAACATGAGTGCTTATCACCGCCTCGCAAATTAATGATCTGGTGATAGGAGTGTTAATTTGAAGCAAAGCAGTAAAAAAATTGGTCAGAGAGAGCGATTTTGTGAGAATGTTTGTTGGTTGGTCTATAGAATGGATGTGGTGGACGGTGATTTCATTGAAGTGGATGCGATACCGGATGAAGTGATAGTCAATCTCGATATGCTTTGTGCGGACGCCGGACGTGGAAGACTAAGTTGTTGGCTAGAGCTAGAGCAGAAGTATTGTCGCAGTGGAGCGGCATTGGAGAGCTTGGTGGAATGTGGAAGTCTATGAGGAGGCGACGTAACCATATGATGTCTGAGGAAGTAGAAGATAGTGCTCAATACTCTGCTTCGGTGGAAGACTTAGCAATGATTGGTTGTTTCTTAACATTCCAAGATAGAAGATTGTCTCCCAAGAAGGAGCAGTAACATGTGATGGATCGGCGATCGACAGAGTCAGAGGCCCAATAGGAGTTGGCATAAGAGTGTATAGTTAGATTACCTCTGTTGATCGGTAGACCAAGATTGTTGGAGCCTTTAATGTATCAGAGAAGCTTGTTGAGGGGATTATGCATTGATTGGGAGAGTAGATTAGTGGTGAAGACAATATCTGGATGACTGATGGTAAGGTAGTGGAGAGAACCTGGTAATTGATGAAATAAGGTTGGATTGGCATATGGTTGATTTTCCTGTAGTTGGTTAATGGATTTAATGGACAGGGGAGTGAGAGCAGGTTTGCAATCAACGAGATAGGATTTGAGGAGAAGATCGTTTGCATATTTTTGTTGATGGAGAAAGCAGTTGTTGGAAGTGTGCTCCACCTGCATGCCGAGAAAGAATGAGATAAGGCCAAGAGCTTTTTGGGAGAATTTGTCTTGAAGAAAGGAGATGGTGGTATGAAGGAAAGTGGAGTTGTTAGAGGTAATGAGGATGTCGTGTACATATAGGAGGAGGTAGGCATGAATTGTATTGTGGTTTTAGAGGAGAAGAGAAGCATCAGCTTTGCTGAAGATGAAACCGAGAGTTTGGAGATAAGTTGAGAAAGATTTGAACCAAAGACGGGGAACTTGTTTTAGGACGTAAAGGGTTTTGTGAAGCTTGTAGGCGTGGTTTGGATGAAGTTTGTCAATGAAGCCTCGAGGTTGGGACATTTATATGTCTTCATGAAGGACATCATGCAAGAATGCATTAGAAACATCGAGTTGATGAACTGGTTAGTTATGGTGAAGAGCTATGGTGAGTAGAAGATGAACAGTGGGCATTTTGGCAACTGGACTGAAGGTGTCAGAAAAGTCTACACCAAATTGTTGTTCAAAGCCTTGGGCGATGAGGCGAGCTTTATAGCGCTCAATGGTACCGTTGGGTTTCATTTTGGTTTTGTAAGTCCACAGGCAACCAAGGAGATTTTAATTGGGGGGTAGAGGTACCAAGGACCAAGTACCTTGTTTTTAAAGGGCAAGGAATTCTTCGGACATAGCTTGTCGACAAGCAAGATGTTTGGAAGCTTGAGAATAAGAGGTAGCTGTAGTATGAGTTGAGGAAGTAGTGGTGAGGGAGAAGATTTGTTTTGGTCTGAAGATTCCTATTTTGGAGAGGGTTATCATGGGATGAGTAGGTTTGTTAGTAGGTGCAGGTGGGGAAAGGGAAGAGGCGGAGTGGGAGTTTGAGGAGGAATTGAGAGGGGAAGTGGATGTAGTAGTGGAAGGTGGGGATGGTGGCATGGTATGAGTTGTTGGAATTATTGTAGGATAGGTTTGTGGAGAAGTGGGTGTTGGAAGTAAGAGAAGAGGACGTTAGAGAGAGGCATTGATATGTGAGTTGACGGTAGGAGATTGTTTAAAAGGGAAGGTGTTTTCATGAAAGACTACCTAACGGGAGGAAATTATTTTGTGAGTTGGCATGTTGTAACAACGGTATCCTTTGTGAGTGAGGGAATAGCCGCGGAACAAGCATTATGTAGAGAAAGGGGCTAGTTTGTGAGGGGCAATTGGTTGTAGCAAGGGAAAGCACATGCAACCAAAGATTTTTAAGTGGTGATAGGTGGGTGGAGTGTTATTGAGAAGTTGAAATGGGGAGATGTTGGTAGATGACCTTGATGGGAGGCGATTGATGAGGTATAATGCAGTTTTAAGAGCTTCAAGGCAAAAAGTGAGAGGAAGGCCAGTTGCATGAAGAATGGCTCCGATGATTTCAATAAGGTGACGGTGTTTACGTTCGACAACTTTGTTTTGTTCCGAAGGGTATGGGCAGCTGAATTGATTGATGATACCTTGAGAAGAGAGGTAGTTATGAAAAAGAATAGAAGTGTACTCACCACCACCATCAAAGCGCAATATTTTGATTTTTCTTTGAAAGAAATGTTCAACATTTTGACAAAACTGGTAAAGATATGTAGAACCTCAGATTTACAATGCATTGGAAATAACCAAGAGAAATGAGAGAAATCATCAACAAAGAGAACATAACATTTAAAACCAGCTAAAGAAGCAGCGGGGAAAGGGCCCCAAACGTCGGTATGTATAAGTTATAATTGCTTATATTGAAAAGAACTACATATAGGAAAAGAAAGTCTATGGCTCTTTGCCACATTACAAGAAACACAACTAAGTAAAGTAGTAGATAATTGTAGTTGAATTTGCTTAGACAGAGACAATAGTTTGTTTTCATGTGCGTGAAAGAGGCGTGCGTCCTAGAGCATGGAGCTATTGGCTTGAGTCATAAGGGCAGTAGGAGTCGAGGAGGAGGATGGCAGATGATAGGGGTGTCAATATTTGACCCGACCCGAAAACCCGACCCGGACCCGACCCAGAAAATCCGGGTTGGACCCGACCCGCGTTGTCGTCTCTACCGCGCGGCCGAACCTGCGTTGTCGAACCCTCCCCTGTCGCCACTCCCAAGTCGCGGGTCGTGTCGGGTCAACCCAGCAACCCGGCCAGGTAGGGTCCGGGTTGAAATGTCCGACCCGTTTACAAAAACGGGTCGGGTTCGAGTTGACCCGTTTAGATCCGGGTCGGGTCGAGTTCGACCCGAACCCGACGGGTTGACCCGAATTGACACCCCTAGCAGATGATACATGCCATTTGTGTTGCGTCCTTTAAAGAGGATTTGTTGGGTGGAGAGATCCTTAAGAACAAAGCCATGAGCATCAAATAAGATTGAGCAATTATTATCGGAGGTTAATTTATGAATTGATAAGAGGTTGTGTGACAAAGGGGGAACATAGAGGAAGTCGTTTAGAAGAAGCTTGCGGGAGGAATGAGGTGTTGGAAAGAGGATTTGTCCACTAACCATCGCCAATCATAACTAAGTCGCAGCCAGCGTATGGGGTGGAGTGTTGCAGAAAATTTGGAATGTTTGTTAGGTGGGAAGATGCTCCAAAGTCAAGAATCCAAGGGTACAGAATTTGATTCAAAAAAAAGCAAACCAATGCCCGGCCTAGGCGAAAGTACTTTCTTCTTTCCCTTCTTGTATTGCATTATCTTTTTCGAGGAGGTACCGATACTGAGCTGCTGTTCAGAGACGATAGCAGTGGGAGTTTGAAGGGAAGCTGTAGAATTGTTATATTGAAATCACCGTGATGCCAGCATTTATCGGCGGTGTGCCCATATTTGAAATAAATTTGGCAAGTAGGGCACTAAGAGAATGGTGTGCGACCACCAAGAGTTGTACCAGGGAAGTGATTTCCGCATCCAATGCGAGCAAAACGACTGCGAGAAGCTGTAAGAGTGGTTTTGGAATTGATTAGAGGGGAGTATTTGGATTGTTCGTTGGAGAGATTGATCTCTTCGCAGCACAGCAGTGAGTAGAGATAGCCTAGGCTGACAGGGGAGAGAGTGGTGCGAATTGTTATTTTAAAGGCTTGGTAGGATGGGGGTAAGCCATTGAAAATGCAAATGAGGATGTCTTCTTAGTCTACGGTAGGACCAACGATAGCAATATTGTCCACGAGGGGTTTAATGTGGGAGAGGTATTGGGTCATTATGAGGTCATTCATAGAAATGTTGTGGAGTTTGTTCTTAAGTTGAATAACTCGAGAACGGTTTGTTGGTTGAAGGCGTTTTTCAATGACAATCAAGATTTCGTGGCAAGTGGAGAGGGTGAGAATATGAGGTAGGATGGAGAAAATAGTGGAGTGGAGGGCAGCAAATAGGTTTTGGTCAAGGAGATCTCAGGTATGAAATGCCAAGTTTGGTGTGATTTTTTCGGTGGTGGAGAGATGTTTGGGGGACACGGGATGGAACCGGTGAGGTAGCCATCGAATTTGTTTGCGGTGAAGAGTTTGGTTATTTGCAGTCTCCGTATGGGGTTAGATATCGATTATGAGTTGAGTGTGAACTATGCTTTTGATGTTGGACATCAAAAACTTGAGAGAGGATGCATGGGATTGGTGGTTCGTCGAAAGAGGTCGGTTCCATGGGAGATGGAGACGGCGCGTGGAGTTGAGTGGCTCACGAGGAAGCTGAGTTATCCATAGGAGAAGGAGGTGCGGTTAAGCTTGATCAGTCTCTGATACCATGAATTAAGATGGATTGGGAAAGAAAGTCGTCCTCCGGCTGTGGCTTGCATTCCTGCATAGAGAACAATAAGATAGAACAAGAGCAGCGGAGAAGAGGAAGAACAGTCCGTAAGAAAACCACCATGTATTGTATTCAATATTGCTAAGGTACGCATACAAGTGTCCAATGAGTAAAGTTCTGCACATGGCAGAGGTTTGTTGTAAATGAAGGGTCGAGATTGCTTTGTTTGTTAAAATTTTAAAAGTAAAGGAGATGATGAAATCTGTATAAAGGAGAGGATGAAATTTGTAAAAAGGGATGTAGATAAGGTGGCCCCTTATTAACATGAGTGCTTATCAGATGAAACCAACTATATATGAATCATAAAACAGATGCCACCCTGACCACGTACGACAATCAAAAACACGCAAATTACGTAACTAGCAGAACTGGTTTCTATTAACGAAGGTTTTCAATGATCAAAGCCAACTTCATCGTGAAGAGTATAAAAAAAGAAAACAAAATATTTCAATCAGGAGTACATGGAAGGGAGCGAAAAGGCATACTCATCCTTCTCATCGCAGCTTTGCGACGAGGTCCTGCCATCTTCACCTTCCGAATCTGTGGCTACAACGCAGTGAAGCATCGAAGGGTGAGACAGCAAGGTAAAATAATCAGAGCGAACAACAGAGAAGAATAGAGACGCAGTACCGCGTTGGCTCTGGCGAGATCCAGGCAAAGGAGTCTGTGGGGGCTTAGATTTGACCTCGTCGCCACCACCGGCGTATGGAGTATCAACAGGAGTGTCAGCAGTCGCTTCTGCGGCCGAGAAGTCGTCGGGGGAGGGAGAAAGGGTAGCCAGCTTCTGGGCGAGCATCGCCTCGCGTCCACTCGAGAGGGGGTAGAGAGAGCAGGACAAAGAGAGAAAGGTAGAAAGCAATTGCGGGGAGGAAAAACCGCAGCGAAGCTATAAATGACCCCGTCGCCTCGCGCTTAGATTTTTCCTTTTATAGTAGAACTTTCTCTCTCCATTTCGAAATTTTGCTGAGATAGGAGGAATAGAAAGAGAAAGAAGGACAGAAAGAGATAGAGAGAGAACCAGGCGGGGGGTGTAAAGGGTGAGATGCCTGCTGGTCTCTTCTAATTATGGCTAAATTTAGGGGACGTCAACTTTAATTTGACCTTATAACATATTTTGATTTAAAAATATATATAATTTTTTAATAATTAATTTTAGATTAATTAATAAAAAATAAAACAATCATATTAATAAGTAAAAAAATTTAAAGAAAAAATAATTAAAACAGATCATTTCAAGTTAAAATTGAGTTGGTGGTTCAATCCGAACCTGACTCATTTAATAAATAGGTCGATTTATAGACCTGAATCTATATTATTTATTAAATGTGTCAATTTGAATCCGAATTTTTTTAGTCGAATTATTTTTTGACACCCCTAAGTAAAACCCACATGTGAGTCCACTTGAGCTCTATTTGATAAATGGTTTATAAATTGAATTTGATTAGATGATGAATTAAGTTTGAGTCAATCTTGTTTTGACCATGGGCGTATCCCCCATGTATTGAGAGAGGGGGGGGTGTCAAATTCCCACCCTAAAAGAAAATATTAAATGTTAGAGGTGATATTTAAGAATATTTTGGATATTTTTTCCCCTCTCAGCAAAAAAATTTGCCCTAATTTTATCATTCTTAAGTGTCTTTGCCCATCCTCACCCAAAAAAAAAAATTTTTACCCCCCCCCACCTTCCCCCCGAAAAAAGAAGCTGGATATGCCTCTAATTTTGAATCGTTAGCTCATGATCCGACTCATTTAAAAGATATTAATATAAAATACACTTAAAATATATCAATCGATCATGACAATTTTATTAAAAATACTTAAAAATTATATCTTTTTTTAATAAGACTATTTTATTATTTCTCTTCTAATTTCAAATTATTTTAAACATTTTATTGTAATAATTACTAAAATAATAATCATGTTTCCTTTTTTCACTTAAATTTTATTGATAACAAATCATACTTAATTAAAATTTGAAGATAACAATTTGAAATTATATTGGCAATATTATAGAGACCAAAATATTTATCCTTGATTTAAGAAACCTCCCTTACTATTACTATTCAACTCTAATTTCCAAATCTTCCATATCCAATTAGGTTCTCAAGTTTTGGTAATTGATTTATTTGTTGAACTTCTGAAAATATGTAGCTATTATAGGTACTTGCTGATTAATAATGATGTTAAAATCATGTTAAGCTGTATGTTCAAATGAAGAAATGCAGATATAGGAATATTCTTTTATATTGAATTATTGAAAGGAAATATATGAGTAAGCTTACTGTTGTAGAATATGAGCATGTTCTACAAGAAGAGAATTGAAATATAATGAATTGAGCAAATCAAGTGGCTTGATGATCAAATGTGGTTAATTGGTAGGAGTATCTACTAGCTATTGTTATAAAATTTTCATATCGTTTTTGTAAAGGAATGATATATTGCAATAGTTGTTATGTTATAGTGCAAACATATTGATATAAAATACATTTAGCCATTATCTCATAGTAGTATAGTCTTATGAATTAAGTTTCGTCGGTATGCATGTAGAATACGTGAGCGACAATGAGACATCAAATGCTATCTATTTCCATAATAGTTGGTTTGATGATCCGCGAATGGTTTGTGAAACAAAAATTGGCAAAACTTCTAAAAATATATTTTGAAATTATTACCATGGGTTGGTGATCATTGATTTTTCTCGTTAATGTAAAGCATAAAGCCAAAAATTTAGAAATTTTTAAAAGGAAAATATTTTGTACGTGGAAGCTCTAGTATCCAAAACTGTTCAGGTGATTACATCTCGATTCACTCCGACCAACCAACAAGCACAACCCGAAATCCTAAGTGACCAGAAGACCATAAAGACGTATTAGGTGAGCTTCTGTTGGAGTAGTGCGTACATGTGAATTTTTGTAATGGTAAATTGAGAAAGGAACAATGGTTAAATCTAGTTATTGTGTTGAGCAGGCGTCTAGGAACAAACTACACAGAATCTTCCGTGATGATAAGATTTAAGAACATGAAAGCTGACTTTAGAACCACATGCCAGTAGCTACTAACAAGTTGTGGGAGGAGATTAGTCAGATATTTATCTTGATATTAAATAGCTCTCATAAATTACCAATTCAAATTAGCAACTAAGCTTAACTTTCAAATTGTAGGTCAACACAAAGCTAACCCGATTTCGAAGATATCCTTTTCATTAGTATGATATTTTTGAGAAGATATGTGTTGAAAACATTGCGATTGACACATGCGCAATATCTAGTAAGGTACCACCCACTACAGTTAACTTAAAGGAGAACGAAACTCCATATTTCAAAGACGAGTTCATGTCAATTAACGGTGTTGGCTATGACATTGAAGGGACCCCCAACAATAATCTACCAGATGATGAAGATGATGCGTCGCCGAGCTTACAAATAGAAATAAGTCATATGCTTAGCTCAAAGTGATCAAGTGAATATCCAGCCCTATCTACAAGATGCCCAAAGAATAAGGGTTGGTTAGATAATTTAAATAAGTTATTGGTTAAGTCAAATGGAAATGCAGTTTTCATTAATGAGGCCATCGAGTGCACCGAATCGTACACAATGATGGATTGACGTAGTTAGTAACAATTTGCATAATCGTTATCATAATCGTAAGGGTTTTACCTCTCAGAACATAATCGGTACCGTTTCATTTAATCGACAATTCGTGTATATAGCCTATGAGTGGGAGGGTTCTGTTGCGGATATGCGTGTGTTTTAGATGGACTATGTAGTAAGGTCATTTTGGAGTGTCCCACAATAGTTATTACTTGATTTATTATGATTACGCAAATACTGATATGTTGATTGCATCATTTTTAGGATATCGATATCACTAGGGTGACTATTATGAAAGTACATCTAGAATATATGTAGTTCAACAATAGTTATTTAATCACAGACATGCCCATTTACACAATGTGATCGAGAGAGCTTTTGGAATTTGTAGGAACAATTTCAAGTATTGATGCACATGAGACAGTTTATTCAGCGTGTTCAACCTGATTTGGTTATTGCATGTGCAATTTAACACAACTTTATAGGTCGATATCATGGACATGATATGTATTTCAATATGTCGTGAATGAAAATGCATCATGATAATCAATGTGGTGAAGTTAAATTGTCTAACGAGGATGTTAACTTACATGCGACAATAGGATAAAGAATTTAGGGAGAAGCGATGAGGCATGACATCACAATTAATTTGTGGAATGCTCGAGCAAGCATTTTATTTTGCATAGAAAATATTTTAACTTTGAATATATTTCGTAGTAATTTCATGATTTTATGATTTCAAATATATTGCTAAAGAAATCGATCATTATGATAAAATTACTCTCCCATGTAAGATATATCAAATCTCCTATCATATTGAGATGCACGATCAAATAGTAGTTTATCTGTATCTAGATTAATATTATTCTATCATACTTTCATGTGCTCTTTCTTAATATTATAGTTTCTATCTAATGAGCTCATGATGAATTTATGATATAGTATGGACTTATCTTAAATTTATAACAAACTTATTGATGTAATTCAATGTTATTTTTTCATATTTAAATTTCTAATTTTTAAATTCTAAAATTTATTGTCAAATAATTTTTTAAAATTTAAGAGAATTTAATATTTATCTCACCAAATAATTTTCAAAATTTAACACGTTCATATTTAATAAATCTGAATATACACGATTTAAATTTAAATCCCACTAAATCCAATACCAAACAGCTCGCTCGCCCCTTCAAGTTCCCTCATAAGCCAACTTTCCAAAATCCTGCTCGCAAATGTCTATGAACCGCCTCAAAGATACCCTCCGTTCTTGCTCTCATTCCACCTCCACCTCCACCTCCACCTCCACCTTCGGTGACTTCATCACTGGAGACTCGGAAATCGCTACCACCTCTGGTCTGCTTCCCGCTATTTCTCTATTCTCCTCGACTGATAACCTTACGTTAAGGAAGCCCCCTAAGTCCTCCCTTTCGCAGCAGTTACAGCGACTCGATTTTGCCTTTTTCCCTCCCGAAGAAAACCCCTCGTTCAAACCGCCTCGAAGAAAATTTGAAGGCGGCGTCCGTCGTGGAGATCGAGGAGGAGGCGGGGAAGAAGAGGTAGAGGAACGAGATGGGGAGGAGACTGTGATAATTGGTCGTGACGCTGCTGTTTCAAAGCGTTTAGATTTAGGTGATAAAGGTCCATTCGAGCCGCTGATCCTCTCGTCTCCCGGGGAATCTCCTGTTGTTCAGGTCAGCTTCGTCTTTATTGATTTACAGCTTATTCAGTTATCTTCTACTCTTTGTATGTGCGTTTGGACTGGATGAATTTCTGTGGATTATTTAATTTTATTTTAATCATTTGTTAATTTATGTTCATGTCAGCGTCATTAGAAATTTTTTTTCGTAATTCATGCAATCCTAGATACAAAAATTTGAAAAAAGGGTGAGTAGAGAAAACAGAGGAGAAGTGATAGGAGCTTGTTTTGTTGGGACTGAGTTGTACTAAGCAAATAACGCAAAATTGAGGAACAAAAATGAAGGTCTGGGTGAAATATATGGACCCAAATGCAAATTACCCGATTTCTTTCACGAAAAGACATGATAATATGCATATTCTTGATATCTGTTATAATTCAGATTGTGTTAAGCTGTTTTTTTTGTGTTGCGTTGGTCTGTGGTTCTCTGGTCACAATAGTTTTTAATTTTAATTTTTTTGTGAAAAACATGCAAAGAAAATCCTTACTTTATTAACCTTCATGGTATCACGATCGCAAAGCGGAGCTACACACAATCTATGCAAGACTATTTACAACTCAGTTTTGTACATTGTTTTTTTTTTCTCAAAATTTTGATTTGATTATTGAATTAAGTCATACATTTAAATTTTCAGAACTATTATGTAAGTAGGGTGAGCAGGGAAAATATGTAAATTGAGAAAAAGAAAAGGAGGCCATCAGTCAAGTTATGAAGATGAACTTTTTGTTGTGTAGTGACAATAAGCCTCCATGGGAAGTATAATTATGTTTCCTAGTTATAGCCAATCTAGTCAGTAGCTATGTTCATCAACTATAACAAAAGTAGAAATATACATGACATACATCGAATTTTATGTAGACGTATAACTTCCCAAATATTAGGAATTTCTAAAGACTTCATATTCCTTGTTTGCATTGCATATATTATTTGGTTCCCTTATTCTAATGTGGTCTTTTCAGGATCCTTCGTATTTCATCTCTCCTTAGGAGCTTTCTTGGGTAGCTAAGTTTTATAATACCTAAATCGGCGTACAAATTATACCTACTATCAAAGCTGAAATTTAAGTATGAAATCCTTCAACCCCATCCACTTACTAACCCTAAACCTTAAATATCTTACAACGAATGGTTCGTGAGTTGAGAATGCATTTTTCCTGATGAAAGTAGTAGTTTTTGTTTTGAATAAATTAATCCTGTATACTACCTAATAGTAGTTAATTATATAATCTGGTTACTAATTAGACTACTATGATTCTTTGTATAATAATTTGCTTTTCCTGGAAGTGTATTTGTTTACTTTTCTCTTTGTACGAGACATTTTCTATCATTCTCTTGTTCAAAACCATTTTGAAATGAATTAATTCTATAATTTGATTTAGAAACCATTGTCTTCCATGTAGGTTCCTGCATCAATTAATTGTAGGCTCCTTGAACATCAAAGGGAGGGTGTGAAGTTTTTGTATGGTTTGTACAAGAACAACCATGGAGGTGTTCTCGGAGATGATATGTGAGTTTAAATTTGTTTTATTCTAGCAAGTATTTATTAATTTTTTTGTTTACATTTTTTAGCTTTGGTGTTTCTTAATTTTGTTCTTAAAAAAAAAAATCTTTATAAGTTTCTGACAGGTACAACTACAACATCAAGCCTTTATCCCACTACGTGGGGTCGGCTACATGAATCTTTTTTCTGCAATGTGTCATATTAAAAGTTAAATTATCGTTTAAATCTAATAAAGAAATATCATTCCTAATATTTTCTAACCAAGTCTTTTTAGGTTTGTCTCTACCTTTCCTAACATAAGTAAACTCTAATACCTCTACTCTCCTAACCGGGTCATCGGGAGGCCGCCGTTTTATGTGACCAAACCATCTAAGGCGACTCTCTCTAATCTTATCTTCTACTGGAGCTACTCCAACCTTTTCACGTATATGCTCATTTCATATCCTATCTCTAAGGGTAAAGCCACTCATCCACCTGAGCATCCTCATCTCTGTCACACTTAACTTAGTATTATGCTTCTCTTCTAAAGGCCAACATTCGGCACCATAAAGCATTGCAGGCCTCACAACCATCTTATAGAATTTTCCCTTAAGTTGAGGGGTACATTTCTATCACATAACAAGCCCGATGCATTCCTCCACTTCAACCATCCAACTTGAATTCTGCTGATAATATCCCCATCTATTTCACCATCACTCTGAACAATAGATCCAAGATATCTAAAACGTGTACTCTTATTAATGACTTGATCGCCCAAAGTCACAATCCCCTCACTAGGACTATTACTGCTAAAATTACACTCCATATATTCCATTTTAGATCTACTCAAGCAAAAACCTTTAGACTCTAAGGTTGACCTCCATAATTCAAGTTTACCTTCAACTCCCTCTCTAGTCTTATCAACAAGAAGAATATCATCAGCAAAAAGCATACACCAAGGTACATCATCTTGCAAATGTCTAGTGAGAACATCCAAGACTAAAGCAAAAAGATATGGGCTTAAGGATGATCCTTGATGTAACCCAACCGAAATAGGGAAATACTTGGTCAATCCACCTTGTGTTTGAACACAAGTAATAGCTCCTGCATACATATCTTTAATGATTTGAATATAAGCATTATTGACTCCTTTCTTTTCAAGAACTCTCCATAGCACTTCTCTTGGAACTTTATCATATGCTTTTTCTAAATCAATAAATATCATATGTAGATCCTCCTTATTTCCTCTATATTTTTCCATCACACATTAACTTAATTCCTCTATAATTCGCACAATCTTGTGCATCACCTTTATTCTTAAAAATAGGAATTAAAATAATTCAAGCTTCTGACAGGTAATGTTTTTTTTTTCGTGCCTGACAAGTGACAATATGTAAGAATTTGGGCCATTAAGATGTTTATGTAGTTTCATTTAGCACATTCATACTATTTATGCACATTGCAAAATTTTGGCTAATAAAAATCTCTTAGCCTCCTTGCACACATCTGATTGGTTGGGGTAGAGATTATGGACTGAAAAATAAAATTGAAAGTATATTGATGCATCATTGAGAATGTTTACTTTCACCAGATTTTCTGTTCTGGTTGATATAGAAATGTGCTACGAACCTTTCGCCATTTTTCAGTTTTGCTCTGTTTGTAATTAACCAGCTATAATTAGAATAATGCCAATTCTAATGAGGAAGTTAAAGAGAGATTTATTAGTGTATTCATGAGAAGAAAGTTCCCAATGTGGAATATCTTTGGAGACTTTTAGATTATTACCACCAAGAATTGAATATAGATGTGCAATATCATTTTGAAATTATTTCTGCACCATGAATGCTCCATCAAACATTAGATTTAGATTGAAAGCAAATAAATAGTCAATTTTTCCAAGCATACAGAAAAGCCCATGGAATTTAACAGCCTGGGCAATCCAGGAGCCATCTATCTTATCAGAATATTGTATAATAACCTTTACGCACCTTCCGAGACTTTTTGAAAAACTAAATGAGCAGTTTGCTAACTCTTATAATGGAAGATGACAAACAATAGATGCCTTGCTCAAAAAATTTAAAAGGTTTTCGTCACTAATGTATTTATCATGAATGATATTTGTTAAAATCCCAACCATCCCTTGGCCCTTGTTCCCACGGCCAACATGGGGATCCGTGGGAGGCTCACCTGGATCACGCTGTTAAATCTCAGTCGTCCCTTGGCCCTTGATCCCACGGCTAGGATGGGGATATGTGGGAGACTCACTTGGATCACATTGATCTGCTTCCATAATTAGGTGGCTGATTTAGGCAGGATTATATTAGGACAATTATGCATTATTTTGTAATCATTTGTTTCTTTATTAAGATAACCTCTAGAGATCTATAAATAGAGATAGTTTTGTATAATAAAATGAAGCCTTTTTCCCTCTCCAATTCTCTGAATATAACATAGTATCAGAGCCTTCATTGCCTTGGCCGGAATTCTTAGTTTTTTTACTGTCGGACTTTATGAAGGGAAGACCCGACCTTTCCTTCAGAAATGAAATCCGTTCTATCAAGAGAGACAAACGTGTAGTGCGTCTCGTCTGGAGGAGTCGAGCGAGAACCCCGTGGTCTATGCGTTCGATTGAGAGAGATGAACGTCTTGTAAACCCCTCTCACATGCGTGTGACCAAATTGGACGAGAGAGGTGTATGGTCAAAAGATTTTGCGCTTGTACTTAGGAGTTGATTGAGCAGGATTGCACTCACCACCACGTGTGATCAAGGATAAGCCGGTTCTTGCGTTATGCTTCCTACTCGCATATGTACAAAGTAGTCGAACAAGTGAGAGGGCTTCCCCTTTCAGTCTTCTATGTGCGGCTAGAGAAGGCACATGAGTCCTCTCTCATGCATGCCTACCTGGCGGTTGAACCGAGTGAAGAAGAGGATCAAGAGAGGGAGCAACCAGGAGTGACATACTTGTGTGCTTGAGCCGGGATGACTAGCCTGCATGCTTATGCTGGAACCAAACCGAGCAAGGAATGGGCATTTGAAGAGTTGCTATGCATGCGATCTAGTCGGTCCGAACAAACCTGGGAGCCTCTTGTGCATGTGTTTGCTCTTGATTTTGTGGATTTGGAAGAATAATTAATTGGCTTTCCTGTTGTCCCACCATCATCCTTCATTGCCGGAATTATGAGGAATAAATATTCTTACCACCAGCCTTCATTGTTGTAGTTTTGAGGAATACAAGTTCCCACCATCAGCCTTCATCGATGGAATTCTAAGGAATATAGGTTCCCACCACCATCCTTTATTGCCGAAACTTTGAGGAATACTGGTCCTTCCACTGGCCTTCATTGTCAAAATTATGAGGAATATTGGTCCTTCGACTTCCTTCATGCATCCAAAACCGAGGAGAGATTGAGCGGGAGGGCTCCTCTCTCGCATGCAACATCCAAAGTTGATCGAGCAAAAATGAGAGAAGTCGATCACATGATCTCCTCTTTCGTGCTTATGGAAAGAGCTAAGAGTTCTCTCTCGTGTGGGTCTAGGAACGGTCAGGCAAGACTGCAAGAGTGCAAGACGCCAAGACTTGCACTCTTTATTGCGATCATATCAGAGGGATCAGAGGCTTTGTGTGTGCTTGTGTGGGGTTGATTGAATAAGAGTGTTCAGGTGGAATCGGATGACTGATTTGCATTGAGCTTAATGTTGGCTCGATTGGACGGGAGGAAAATTGCATGCCAAGTACTGAGCTGCTTGAGATGTATTTTTCTGCTGCTGTCCTTGAAGCTTGTCGCAACCCTAAAAACAGATTTTTTCCTATTATTGTGCTTTCATTGCTGACCTTCCCTTGTGGTTTCTATCCTATCTATAACCAATGTAGCCTTCATTACTGCCCTACTTAATATAGCCTTAATTGCTATCTTTTGCTAGCACAATGTCTGAAGCTAATTTCTTCTAAAATTTTGACCAAATGGTGGACTCTATGGGTGCACCAAAGGTCTTGATAACTTTACTTTTTTGGGACTAATTGCCAAGCTGAGAATGACAAATTTGTATTCCTCAACTTGAGGGGAAGTGTTAAAATACCAACCATCCCTTGGCCCTTGATCACACGGCTAGCATGAGGATTCGTGGGAGGCTCACCTAGATCACCTTGTTAAATCTCAGCTATCCCTTGGCCATTGATCCCATGCCAAGATGGGGATCCATGGGAGGCTCATTTGGATCATGTTGATCTCCTTCCATATTCAGGTGGCTGATTTAGGAAGAATTGTATTAGGACAATTATGCATTATTCTATAATTATTTGTTTCTTTATTAAGATATCTTGTGGAGATCTATAAATAGGGATAGTTTTGTATAATAAAATGAAGCTTTTTACCTCTCCAATTCTCTAAATTTAACAATATCACTACAAAAGAATGCTTTTCAGCATGAATAAATTTTTTCGAATTCATTTATCAAGAAGAGACGTATCTGAATTCCTAAGATTTAAGTATTTCAATACCACCAAACTTTTTAGGCCTACAAATATTATATTAATTAACCAATTTGATACTCTTGCCTTTATCTGAACCCTACCAAAATAAGTTTCTTCTAACGGCATATATTTTTTTGATTACCCAAGTGGGTATCCAAAGGAAAAAGAGATGATACAAAGGAATACATGAGAGGACATAGTTGACAAAAGAAAGCCTTCTACTTCTAGACAAGAATTTACTGTATGGTAGGAAAACCTCATGCACAAAACTTTATTTCTTCTCATTTTTTTTCTTCTGAATTTTCAATTATAGGGTGAAAGCAACACATTCATTATGCTCGTGTGTGGATCCTGCATGTATGCTTGTTTATATATCTCAGAAGATTGTATTTGATTAATATATCCTAATCGTTCTGTATTGCAATTGGCAAGGCGAATCATAGGGCTTTTTTCCTCAGCATAAATGGTTGTGGTGCTTCAGCTAAATGGCGCCTTACCATTTATTATAATTTTGTTTTTGATGATAGTCCAAAAAATTCTCAAATATTAATACTATTTATTCAACTAAGCCAAATTAAGTGGGGGGGTAAGAAAATTTAAAAAAAAAAAAAAAAAAAAAAACAAGCCAAATTAAGTGCATGTAATTATTAGGTGATTGACGAGTAATGGAATAAATTAATCAAAAGATGGCAATAAGATATGAAAAAAATGACGTACAAGGTGCACAATATGATAATCAAAATGAAAGTGATGGAAATAACAATTAAGTGCCTAGGTTAGAAGCATAAAAAGTGAACTTTAGGTGCATTGTATTTTAGTTTGCGTTGCATTTTTTTCATCTTATATTAAAGATGCCTACAATAGACCCTATTGAGGATGGGCTTTGTTCTCCAATATTTCATTTTCCTAATGAGGCTTGGTTAACTACTGAGGAGCTAATTCAACATACTAAACAATCCAAGTTTTAGCTTTGAAGGTTTTCTACCATGCATGATTACGGGACTTCAACCTATACAGTTTTTTTCTTGAATTCTTGCCATGCCACAATTAGTTTTCTTTTATTTTTTCATTACATTCATTGAATTGGTTGCTTTCCTGTTACTGTGTTACTATCACATGCTATAATCCTGATTATGTGCTGCTGGTTGCTGCAATTTTTCATCATTACTACATTCTCACCTGTCTTTTTTGCTTATCGGTGATTTCTAGACCGATAATTCCACCCCTGGTGACGAGTTCTGCTGCCTCTTATTTTCTTTTTATTAATAAATTAGCATGGAAATCATTAAACCTAAAGCTGATTTCTACTGTTTATGTGCTGAAAGAATTGGAGCTTATTGCTTCTTACTAGATCTAGGCACCTAATTGTAAATTATCCTAAAGGAAGAAGGGATTCATTTTGAAGTGTATGCATTGAGTTTGGTCCTTTAAGCGATGGTGCATGATTCCCTGCTTTGGTGTTAATCATGCTTAGGTGCATGCATTTCTTTCTAAAGTACCTGTGGATGAAACGAGATGCTTTTGAACATTTTACAAATTGACATCTCAAGTGGAACGCCAATGGTTGATTGCATTATTTGGACGATGTAAATGGTTCTCTCCATGGATCGATAAACTTTTAGATTGAGAATTTGATACGTCCTAGGGTTCCACAATTTCGGTTTTACCCTAATTTCCCCCAAAAATGAGGAATTTCTCCACCAAAAGCAAAGAGAAACAATCACAAGAGGGTTGAGATGAAAAGCAAGAACCTTTGCATTAGAAAGCCAAGAGAAAACAAGATAAGTTTGTCCACTTCGAGAAGGACAAGATCTCCCACAAGAAAACCCTAGAAAAGAACAAGAAGGAAACTAGAAAGAGAATACACTTTTCATAATGCCTTCAACTAAACCCTAATGGACCCCTTCATACAATCCAAAAGTCCCTCACATACCCAAATTACCTCCACTTAAGTGGGTGGGCCCCTTAAACCCTAATGGCCCCCTTCATAAAATCCAAAAGTCCCTCACATACCCAAATTACCTCCACCCAAATTACCTCCACTTAAGTGGGTGGGCCTTTTTTTGTCCAGCCGGTCCGCCCGCCTCCTATAGACCCGCACGGGTCTAGGATGGACCGGGTGAACCGGTCCATCAGAATTGCAACAAAGTTTTGGAATGCTAATTTTAGGGATGTTCAAGTCTTGTTGTTGAGGTGCTTGAATTTGCATGGAAAATTGCAATGGCATGTTGTCTCAAACTTCTAAACTCCTGGCAATCATCTATCTGATTTATTATGACAAATGAGTTCAGCTATTCTAATATTTTCACAAGTAAAAGCCATACTGCTTGTGCACCAACTTTTAGAATTTTCAGTGTTCGCCTTGTCGACTTTCTTCATGCGGTTAATCATCATAGTCTTTAGCGCTTCCATGCATGTATTATCTTGCATGAAAGTTGCAGCTTAAGGTATGGATTAATAGGAGACCGAAAAGCAATGATGCATCTCATTATATGGAATGGCTTACATTGTTTTTTTTTTTTTTTTTTTTAATTTTTTAATTTTGGAATAATTTTATAAACATTACTTGATGGTTTGTTTTCATGCATGGCATTGCTTTATTTTTTTGTACTCTATCAATATATGAGGGATGATGGGCTTTGTTGTGACAATTAGGTTGCTCAATTATGACTTGGAGGTCATGGCTTCAAATCATTGAAGAGGCCTCTCTGTTTTTTACATGTGAGGCTATGTACATCTACCCATCCATAGACTCACAGTAATAGGGCACTTGGTGTGCATTGGGGTATAGTTCTTTAGTAGTAACATATAAAGTTTCTTTGCCTTACTACAGGGGGCTTGGGAAAACAATTCAGACCATTGCATTTTTGTCTGCGGTGCTCAGAAAAGATCTCGAAAATTCAGACTGTCATGTGGATGGCAAGAAGGGCTCTGTGTTGATTCTCTGTCCTACTTCTGTTCTCCGCAACTGGGAAAATGAGTTCTCTGAATGGGGGACCTTTAGTGTTGCTATTTATCATGGACCAAATCGTGATTTAATTCTTGAAAAACTAGCTGTTCATACTGTAGAGATAGTTATAACTAGTTTTGACACATTTAGAAATCACGATCAAATTCTAACTAGGATCCTGTGGGACATAGTTGTTGTTGATGAAGCACATCGTTTGAAGAATGAAAAGTCTCAGTTTTATAAATCATGCTTAGGAATTAGAACTACCAGGCGATATGGTCTTACTGGAACTATTATGCAGAACAAGATTCTTGAGTTATTCAATCTATTTGATTGGTTTTCGCCTGGGTCTCTGGGAACCAGAGAACACTTCCGAGAGTTCTATGATGAGCCTTTAAAACATGGACAAAGGTTAAGTGCTCCTGAAAGATTCATTCAAATTGCTAATAAGCGCAAGCAACACCTTGTTACAGTACTGCACAAGTACCTTCTCAGAAGGACTAAGGAAGAGACCATTGGGCATCTTATGCTGGGGAAGCAAGACAATGTTGTTTTCTGTGCTATGAGTGATTTGCAAAAGCGAGTTTACAAAAGGATGTTGGAGCTGCCTGAGATCCAATGCCTTGTAAATAAGGATCTCCCTTGCAGTTGTGGGAGCCCATTGACTCAAGTTGAATGTTGCAAGAGAATTGTTCCCAACGGTATAATTTGGTCCTATCTTCATAGGGACAATCCTGATGGTTGTGAATCATGCCCTTTTTGCCTTGTTCTTCCTTGCCTAATTAAACTGCAGCAGGTAATTTGAAATTTTATGTTCTTTACGCTTTGTAAATATTTTTAGGTATACATTTTAAAGTGATACAACATGCTTCTACAGATAAGTAATCACCTTGAGTTAATAAAGCCTAACACTAAGGATGAAGTAGAGAAACAGAAGAAGGATGCTGAACTAGCCTCTGCTGTTTTTGGTACTGATATTGACTTGGTTGGAGGCAATGCTCAGAATGAAAGTTTCATGGGACTTAGTGATGCGGAACATTGTGGAAAAATGAGAGCACTGGAGAAGCTCATGTTTCATTGGCTTAGACATGGCGACAAGATTCTTCTTTTCAGCTACTCTGTCAGGTAATTAATTTGTAAGCGCCGTATATCTATAAATTTAATCCTTTTCCCTCCAATTTTGTGTTGACCTACTGTATAAAAAAAAAAAAAAAATCAAAATCAAATCTACGTACCTGCCATCGCACGTCATTTCCATAACTTCACACGTCGTCGCCGTTCTTCGCACGACGAGGCCATACCTCGCGTCGCTTCTCCCCACGACTTCGCACGACGAGCTCGCGTCGTTAAATGGCCACGAAAAGGAGACCTTCGGTCTCTTTTCACGGGTGTTGGCTCTCCCTCCTCTCCCGAGCTCCCTTCTGCGACTGAGCCTCCAGACGGCCGAAACCCCTAATCCTGATCTCCTCTTCGCCTTCGAAGTTGAGATCCAGCGAGCTCTTTCCGCCTGTAGGTCACGATCGACCTCAAGCTCGAGTGCCGACTTCTCCTTGGCCGTCCGACTCCGCACCTTCTGCAACATTCCCTTCCTCTCCGATCGGAAGTTCCGACATTTTAATCAGAAGTAGCGACAGGATTCGCTTGCCGTGAAGATAACTCTCTGCCTTTCAAGCGCCTCTCCGATCCTCCGCCGTCGCTCGACTTTTCTCCTCCGGCACCTCCCCTTCCTGTTTGATCGGAGCCAACAAGGGAGCTCACCGGCGTGAAGGTAACTTTCTCCTTTGCCGCACGCTACTCCGGCCAAATCCCGTAGATCCCTCTGTGACAGAGAGGGAAGCAGATGATTTATTTTGCATTAATTATCTTTAATATAATTATATATTATTTTTTATAAGTTAATTCTAATTAATTAAGTTTAATTATTACGTTATCATGAATTGATTTATTATTGCTTGACATTTTTACTATAATGTCTCCTTAATTTTTATATATTATATTAAAAAATTATTATGCCGTGTCCACGCCGCACCCGTGTTCTATATTTTTAAAAATTGCCGTGTCCCGTGTCCGTGTCGTGTCCGTGTCGCCGTGTCCGTGTCGGTGCATCATAGCATACACGCCTTTATTGCGCGTGGTGCGAAGGCCCAGTTTTCTCGTAGTTTTCCCCTAAACGGGGGAGGTGCCGGTAGGCTGCTGAAATTTCGGGTGAAATATTGCTGCACTCGGACCTGTTTGAACTCAAAAAGGACATGCACTGGGATTTGAACTCAAAAGAACATGAACAGAGGACTTGTGGACCTTTGAATTTGATTGAACACGAGCAGAAGACCTAAATCAGAACAAAATTCATATGATTTCTAAAATTCAAATTCAAATAAAAATAAAATCAAATTGGAACCAAACTCAAGTCAATACGGATATGAAGATAAACCTGCAAAGACTCCAGAATATTTTGAATATAAATGAACTTGTATTCTGAACTCAAATTGAACACCAATGGCTCGAACAATTTGAACTTGAACGAGTATTCGAATGAACCAAAACTTGAGCTTGAATGGAGTCAGAAATCAAGAGGGGAACAAGGAATCCAGATAAAAATTGCACTTGATCTGGCCAAAGAACTTGAATCCGTTAGACATATTAAATTATAATGTCATGCTCAATATGAAAAAAATATCAACTTTGATGTGTACAATAATTTAAAGGAATTATAAGATTTGATGAATATTAAGTTCTATGAATAATTTGCTTTTGATATTAGAGATTGAATATCTCACATGAATTATAAGATCTTCTCTGGGATGAAGTTCTTGATTTCTATCGTCACAACGTTTTGTCTTTTCCTAAACAACCTAATAATAACAATTTTCTCTTAAGAGAAATTTGTAATTTTCCATATCGAAGCTTAATCAATTGGCAACGAATAACATTTTTACCTCAAAATAATCCTCATTTAAGCTCGCAATCCGATAAACTCAAATACAACTTAATTTGTGAAAGAAAATACTAAATGTGGATTACTATCGAAAATCTTGAGTCCTCTTTCTTTTTCTTTTTTTCCTTTTTTTCCCCTTCCTTTTCTTCTTCTTCTTCTCCTTCTCTTCTTCTTACCTTCCTCTTCTTCTTTCCTTCTTCCCTTCTTCTTTCTTTTTTTCTTCATTTCTTCTTCCTTCTTCAAATTCATATGAGATATTTTTAATCAAGAATATTTAACATTTATTTAAATGCATAGATGTTGACTTTCACATATCATGTCTAATCTTGATGCATGTTAAATATATTAAGTGATAACAATTATACAGATTAATTGATACATGTCTAGTCTTTGTTTTTTTCCCTTCTCGGTTTGTTGTACCGAGCTTCCCCCACCAGTTCTACTTTTCTTCTCATTCTTCATTTCTTTTTATTCTTTCCTTTCCCTTCTCTTATTCCTCCCACTTCTTTTTTTTTTTCTCTTTTCTTCTATGTATTCACTCTATCTCTATGATGCACGGACACGGACACGGCGACACGGACACGGGACACGACATTTTTTAAAAATATAGGACACGGGTGTGGCGTGGACACGACATAATAAATTTTTAATATAATATATAGAAATTAATGTGACATTATATTAAAAATGATAAACAATAATAAATCAATTTCATGATAATTTGTTTAGCTTATAACATAAAGATGTTTAGTACAAAATATCCATCCTTCAACATAGAAATTATAATTTCATTTATATCTTGATTATTCATTATTTTTAGCTAGATAAGATTGTAACAAACCAATCATACATAGGAATACATCCGAAATTTGTTGTCTTTGCTTTGCGCTTTGCAAGGTTTAAAATTGCGTAACTGCGCCTCGAGGCGGTTTTCGTCCGTGAGGCGAGGCGTAAGCCTCGAGGCGGTCTGAGGCGTAAGCCTCACGAACACAGAATTGCGTAAATGAAAAATTAAGAGTTTTAGCAGGAAAATAATAGCAATAGTGGAAAATAAGAAAGTAGATGCAATAAAATCAAGTCCCAAAGTACAAAATCACAAAATATTAGTTTAACAAAACTCCCAAAATACAAAAAACATATAAAATGAAATCATATCCCATCACTAAATGGGTCTTCAAGTGAATCTTATTCGCTAATTGTATCTATGAATGTCATGTCATCATCATCATCAATATGACTCACTTTTCTCTTCTCTGTTCAATAAAAGAAAAGATCATTAGCATATTAATTGGATGAACCACACATTATCAGGCAGACTGGCAGAGAACATATACCTTTACTTGCAGAGCTAGTAGATGTGTGTGGTGTGGTACTAGTGGATGTACCCGTTTGATCTGCTTCGCCCCTCAATACATCCACATTTAGATCTTCTACCTGTAAGTCTGATAATGACAAATCTGCCTCATCATCTATGAACCACTCATTATCAGACGACACATCATCACACACCAACGGGTCCTCATCATCTTTCAACCCCTTATTCCTCAACCTCCTATCTCTTAACCTCTTGTTGTGCATTATGTATACGAGGGAGTTCATTCTGAGTGTAGATAGTCGATTTCTTCTCTTTGTTTGCACTTGACTATATGTACTCCAATTTCGCTCACACCCAGAAGAAGAACAAGTGAGGCCCAACACTCTCACAGCAAAACTCTGTAGCTCAGGGGTGGAATCACCAAATTGGATCCACCATTCAACTGTTTTCAAGAAAAAAATATAATCAAAATTCAGAACTGAATAAAGTGTATTGCATTTACCAAATTAATTATACCTGGAGACCGTTTAGAAATGGTAGTTTTTGCTGCATTCAAACCAAAAAAACCCTCTTTATTCCGGAACAGAACAAGCTGTAAATCTGCAAGCTCCCTATCTGCCTGCTCCGGTATTAATCTTTCCATACAGTGATATAGACCAAGCTTAACCTCCAGATTTGAAGATTTTTTCTCTGAATATTGAAATTGAGGGTTAAGATAATATGCAGCTGCATGTAGATGTCGGTGTAACTGCACCTCCCACCGAGCATCAACGATATCCCAAATCTCCCTATAACTTGCCTCCTCTCCTCCCAAGTTATGTGCAATCAACTCCTTGGCCTCATCCATAGCATTATAAATAAAACCCATAGCTGGTTTCTTCTCTGCATCCACTAAGCGTAGAACTTGCACTAAGGGTCTCGTGCTCAAAATGGCATAGGTCACAGTAGCCCAAAATTTATCATTCAGAATTATCTTTCTTATCTCCTTTCCCTCACTCTTCTTCCCCCAAGCAGAGTTTAGCCATTCAGTTGATGTAAACATGGCTTCCAAAGGTTGCCTCACCTCCATCAAGCTCTGCAGTGTCAAATAGGAGGTGGCAAACCTATAGATTCACAGTGCCCAAATGTTAAAACTATGAACATACAGTTGGAATGATTTACAATGTAAAAAATATGAACATACCTAGTGGTTGCAGGTCGAATGATTTCTTTCTTTGAAAATTTTCTCATTAAGCTTAACACCCAAGAGTGATTGTAGATGAATTTTGTAATCTTCTTCGCCCTAACAAGAGCACTCTTGTGCTGAGGTAAGTCACCAAGATCCTCCAATATGAGATCAATACAATGTGCTGCGCAAGGTGTCCAATAGAGGTGTGTCCTCTTCTCCATCAACATCTGACCAGCTGCTTTGTATGCACTGGCATTATCAGTCACTACCTGGACAACCAACTGCTCTCCAATCTCCTCAATAACTCCATCAAGTAAATTGAAAATGAATGTAGCATTCTTCACCTCATCAGAAGCTTCAACAGATCTTAAGAACACTGTACCATAGGGATTGTTGACAAGGATGTTTATCAAACTCCTACTCTTCATGTCAGACCATCCATCTGACATTATAGTCACACCTGTCTCAATCCATGTCCTTTTAATCTCACCAATGGTTCGCTCGGTGTTCTGCAACTCCTCTTTTAAAATCCAAGTGCGCAACTCATACATAGAAGGTGCTTTCAACCCTCTTCCATACAATCCTACAGACCGCATCATACTGAAGTAGGCAGGCGATGTAGCAACATTAAATGGTATTGCATTTTCAAAAAAAACCGCCGTCAATGTCAACTTGTACACTATACTTCCAAGAAGGGTCCCTCCGCAATGACGTATTCGTCTTTTCTTTACCTCTAACCATGTCTTCTAAAGCAAAAAATCAAATACACTAAAAAAAATAAAAAAACTAAACCCTAATTTCTCTTAAAATTGCAAAATATATCCCTAAACTTAATAAAAATACCTAAAATCCAATGTGGAGTACTCCTAGAGGGTGGTCGGAAGTTTCTACTTCGCCGGAGAGGGGCGGCGCCGGCGGGAAGCAAGGCCGACGGCGTGCGTAAGCTGTTTTCGCGACCTGGAGCGTGCGGGAGGGAGAAAAAATCGGGTTTGGCTGAAGGAGACGGGTGAAAGAGATAAAAAGACCTCATTTTAAGTGAGTGGACCCTACCCAGAATTGCGTACGCCTCACAAGGAATTGCGCAATTGCGCCTCTGAGGCGCGCCTCAGCCCCTGTGAGGCGTACGCCTCTTGCAAGACCAAAATTGCGTAGGCTATGAGGTGTTTTTGGGAGGAATTACGCAAAGGCGCGCCTCTCATTGCGCAATTTTAAACAGAGGCGCTTTGTGAAATCATTAGGTTTAGACATTACTTCGGCGATCCTTACTCCTTTTCAAAAAGGCAACAACATACCTTTTGTTTTTTCTATAACCACATTCAATTTAGCAGAATAGATAGAAGCTCTCCAACCTTCAGAAGACCTCAGCTCTCACTTCAAGTTGCCCAACTGAAGAGGAGAGGAGAGGAGAGGGAGAGGGAGAGGGAGAAGGAGAGACTAACGTGAACTCCTAAACCTATCTCACCGACGATCGGCTATCTGGGTTGAGATATAATGAAAAGCCAATGGAGCCTTGGATTGAAAGCGATGACGCTCCAACTGCGAATTTTTTATAGGAATACATAAGTTAAATTGATATGAAGTGAAATAAAAATATCCCAATAATAAGACAACATGAATACAACAATATACTGGTCTGCCGGGGGTCCAAGGGGGCGCTGCCCCTGGCGGGGTTCGACTTGCCCGGTTAGGTTGCGGGGTCAAGGGGCAATGCCCCTGCGAGGGTTTCCGGGGGCAGTGCCCCCGGAACAAATTTTGAAGTTCTGCCCCCGGAACAAATTTTGAAGTTCTGCTTGTTTTTAAAGTTCGTAAGTTGTTTATATGGAAAGATACTGAGCGGTACCGAGTGGTACCGAGCATGTACCTAGCGATACCTAACGGTACCGAGCATGTACATTAGCTTTTTATTATTTAATAACCGGACACGCATGTATGATTTTAATTTTTTAAATTGCGACACTCTAATACCGTGTCGGACACGTGTCCATGCAATGTCGAACGCGTGCCTGTGTCCAACACGTGTCTAACACTGCATACCCTCTTTAAGCGGAGTGTCGGTGCATCATAGCTATATCTAGAGCCATCTTCCCCTTTATATCCCTTTATGCCTCCAGTTGATGTTAAGAAGGGAATTGGATATAGAATAAGGTTTAGGATAAGGTTTACTACTTGAGCCTTGCAAATGGAAGTATTCAAAAAATGTTGACTACTTTATCCACCCAACGATATGCATTTGTGGTACACTAGGCCTCCGTTGATGTAAGCTTTACCCCAAGAAAATAGTTGATTTGAAGAGAGTTTATTTGATTCGAATCAAGGCCATCAAATCAACATAATGGAAACATGCCTATTGCTCAGAAGCGTGCCCTTACAAATCAAGCAAATAATAACAAAAAATGCTTAAGCCAGTAAGCAATAGAATATTCTTAGCAAGCTTCACAAGGTTGGCACATATGAATTTAATGTTTTTAATAATTTGTAAGCCTCAATTCCACTCTAATAGAGAACTGATATTCTTATCCAAATTATTATTAAACAATTAATTTTTAATTTTAAGATTGGAAAACTCTCTCTCAATATTCACTAGAATGTACAGATTTGGTTGCTGTAGAGGAATATGCTTTGGAAAACACTGAAGGATGTGTAGTTGCGGGTACTAGGAGTGTTTGTTTTGAATTAAAGCAAATACAACGCATTTGTATTGGGGGTTTGAAATATACTAGAATACCTATTTTTGATGAATTTGAAAATCTCCTAAAGCAGGCGAACTCTAAATGTAGGAAAAACTCACATCTTGTAACCTCAGCTTCTTCACCCCTGGCCTATGTTATTTCCCCGCTGCTCGTTGCTTGCTTGCCCACCTTCGCAGCCACTAGTATTCGTTGCCATCGTCTGTCCACCCACTAATCCACTGTATTCACCTATTTTCTCTCACCCTTGGTAGCCCCCATTCCCCACTAGTCACGCCTTGCCATCCCCATTCATTGATGTTTGTCGTATTTCAATGTATTTGATTTTTGTCCAATCAAAGAATTCATGCTTTTTTAAAATACATACATTATAAAAACATCCAATCAAACACAAAAATCCAGCCATGTGCCATTGCCTTGATAGCTTCTTTTGTGCTCTGAAATCCCTTTTTTTTATTTTTTGTGACACACATAACAATGAGCTTATTTATCCCTTGGTAGACGTTAATGTCCTTTTTTTGTTTTGTTTTTATTGCATCTTAATGTGATTTGTTTTTCGAGCAGGATGCTTGACATTCTTGAGAAGTTCCTTATAAGGAAAGGTTATTGCTTCTCAAGATTAGATGGTTCAACCCCAATGAGCTTGCGACAATCATTAGTTGATAATTTTAACATGAGTCCAAGCAAACAGGTAATTCTAGCATTTGACAATTTGAATTTTATGTATCTGGTCGATTGGCAAGTTAAATATCCTCTTTTTGTAGGTGTTCCTTATATCCACCCGAGCAGGTGGTTTAGGTCTCAATCTTGTTAGTGCAAATAGAGTTGTGATTTTTGATCCAAATTGGAATCCTGCACAAGACTTACAGGCTCAAGATAGGTCTTTCCGTTATGGACAGAAGAGGCATGTTGTTGTATTCCGCCTTCTTGCAGCTGGTTCCCTTGAAGAACTTGTGTACTCTAGGCAGATTTATAAGCAACAACTTTCAAATATTGCTGTTTCAGGAAAGGTGGAAAAACGTTATTTCGAAGGTGTTCAGGTATAGCAATTGGTTTTCTTGTATTTTTTGGTGTGGTAAATTGTATTCCGTCTTTATCTAAAGTTTTTAAAGAAAGCATTCTTCCATCATTTAACTAACTCACCTTTTGAACATTTCTTTTTTGTAACATAAATTTATTTTTAGGACTGCAAAGAATTCAAAGGTGAACTCTTTGGAATCTGCAACCTATTTCGTGACCTATCTGATAAGCTTTTTACAAGCGAGATCATCGAAATGCATACAAAACATGGAAAACAATATGATCCCTCAGGTGGCTCAGAGGATGTTTTGAAAAATGAGGGGAAGCTGGTAACAAAAACCTCATTACTAAATCTGGATGTTGATGACGCATCTTTGAGTAATAAAGGAAATCATGATTCATGCTCAGACAAATATCCAGAAGGCTTTACTACCGCTGAAAATAAACAATCGCTTAATGATTTGGGTAAGTCTCTAAATTGATCCAAATATAGGGCATCAAGTAATCTTGTAAAGCATATTTTCTCACTGAATTGATTCATTAATGGATGATATTTTTAAAATCATCAAATGAAACTTTACGGATGAAGGATCAAGTGATGGTGGTGTTGATAGAACTTGACTCAAATTCTATGCATGATTGTTTCTCTGGTTTCCTGATAATTTTAGAATGTTAGTTATATGCTATTATATGTAACCCAAGGTCACTACAACAATCACTTTCTGTACGCTCTCTGCAATGTAACCAAGAAAAAGGAAGCTTAATTGCAATTAGCTAGGAATAGAGATTTCATTACCATGCAGATAAATTAGATGAGAAAAAGGGGATGCACCCACCAGAAATTACGGGGATTCATTAAGCTAATGGAATAACTTATTTGTTACATGTGGTAATGTGGAGAATCCCAAATCCTAAGTAGATGATTAGCAAGTAAAACTAAATGAGGTGTTTGGTTGGTGGTAAGTGGTACTTAGAAAGTACAATTAATATCCAATAGATGCTTCATCATCATCATACCCCCTCCCTCATTGAAAAAAGTAGACTTCGAGATTGTATTTGGTGAAAAACCTCTCATAATGGTTGATATACTCATGAAAATGCTTGAGGTGATATCAATTTGATGCACTGCTAACAAAAGACATTACCCCTTATAGGAAGAGGGATTTCATTACGGAGGATTCATTCACCCGAAACTATGAGGTTTTCCTCATCCTTGACATTCGAATCACTCACCCATTACATGTAGCGAATCACTTGTCCAAATAATAAGACTCTCTTACATAAGCTCTATTCAAAATCCTTTCATATCTAAAGTCTAAACCTTTTATATATATCATAAAATATGAATTCTTTGTCCAATTAAGTGAGGTGGTTGGTGACAGGAGCAGTTGATGTTCAGGAAGCACAATGGTAGGGCAAGTAGTAGTTGACAAGTACATTTAAGATTTAGTAAAGATTTATTCACTAGGATATGCTGCCGTAGCCATTTGACAAGACTGGAATATGGTTAGTGTCAAAAGTTATGCTGATATATAGGCCACTTTTAAGTTGATGGTTGGAACTGAAAGTGCCACATGAATCCGTCTAGGAATTCTCTAAGGACGGGGCTTACTCTTCTCTTTATTACAATTAAATTGGTATTATACTTCCATTATATTTTTGCATTTTGACATTACATTTGGAGACGATCAGGCTAGACAAAATCTTCTCAGAATGTATTGTGCATTAAATGAGTTCATATCCGTTGGTTTTTGTTCCATTTTTTCTGTGGAAATGTGTGTATGTTGAACTGTGTTTTCATCTTTTTATGTTATAAGTTTTTCAAGCCTAACACAACTTCGAAACTTCCACCATAAAGGACAATTCTTCAAGAATTTGAATGGAAAGTGATTATTCTGTGAAACAGGTATTTTTTATCTTTTTACCGAATTTGAGAATATTATCGCATCCGGCAGCTTGCAAAGAGAGTTAAAAGTTAGGTCCATGTGAAACAGTTACCTTTACTGCTGGAGCAAGAGCATAAAACTTTAATAGAAGCCATATACATGATAGCAAAACCTAAAGTTAAAATGACATGATTCCAAAAATTTGGAGTGATTGTGTAAATGTTTCTATTGAATTCCTTGATCAAGTTAATTATTGTGAAAAACATATTTGAATCTTGAGGCACGCAAGTGAAAAACGGTTTGGCAATTTTAATGTCTGAAGGTATATCACATGGTGAAACCACTATTAGGGACATAATTTCTTCAGGAAACCTCTCAAAAGGCATCATAAAGAAGTTCTATTCCAATTTTTATGATAATGTGAAAAGCTAACAGGATCTAGCCTTATTTTATGTGACATTGAAAAATAGACACTTTATTTGCCAAAATTCCAGCTAAACAGTCACCTTCATGGATTAATTATTCTGTGCGGACGTTAAACGCCGTCCAAAGACCAACCAGAATGCACCACGTCATTCCTTGCTCGGTACCGCGGCTCGGTACTATAGACGTGACGCATTCTGGTTGGTATCCGGACGGCGTTCTGCGTCTGGTCTCCGCACAAAATAATTTCTCACCTTCATGTCACCAACATGATTAGAACCTTGGTCTTGTTTAAATTTACCTCTCCTTCGCAACCAATTTAAGAGGAGCTTGGTCTCATGAACCAGTGATTTTGTGTACTTCAATATAGAATTTTACAACAAATTACTTTCTCTGTACCTCTGTTTCGAGGGCTTTAATGCCATTATGTCTGAACTTGATCTATTATGTTTGTCCTTTCGATGTATAATTGGAGCATCTTTACATACAGTTATCTTGATATCAACATCTTTCTAATCATATTTGAGCTCTCAGGTATACTTTATGCTCATCGAAATGAAGATATTGTCAACATGGGACCTAGATACAAAGTTCAACCAGCTTCAATTACAGAAGAAGAAAAAAACAATTCTAAGGTATTGTGTAAACCCGATAGTGTAGTGAAATCCCATACAAGAGAACAGAAAAGAAACGAGTTCAAGAAAATTGCTCAGTACAGAGGCATGGAGCTCTTAGAGTTCAGCAACTGGATATTATCTGCATCTCCTACTGAGCTGAAACAACTGCTCAAGGATTACCAGAAGAAAAAAAGGAAGCGGCAGTTGGTAAATTAAGGATTCTTTTGGGAAGGCTTTTTTATTGCTTTTTAAAGTAATTTTTAGTATAAAAATTAAAGATTTTATACTAAAAAGTTGCTTTAAGAATTAGTAAGAAAACCGTCCCAAACAATGACTAAGATTTTGTTTGGGATGGTTTTTTTTACTGATTTCTAAAGAAGTTTTTAGCACAAAAATTTCTTGAATTAGAATTTTTCGTACTAGAAAGTTACTTTAAAAAGCATTAAAAAAGTTGCACTGCCTCAAACAAAATCTAAAGTTTCATTTGGGACATTTTTTTAGTGCTTTCTATTTGTACTAAAAAATTTCTTTAGAAAGTAATAAAAAAATTGTCTCAGACGGGGCTTAAATGCTTTTGGTTTGTAGGGGATAAACTACACTAACTGCTTTTGCTGTACAGCATAGTTTCTCTATGTTTATAGTTTATTGATTTGTAATTCTGATTATTTTAGCCTACCACATTATTATTTAAGCCTAAAATAATAATGTGGTAGGCTAAAATATTAACATAGAGCAAAAATAATGGAGGCATTATTTTTGAAGATATATAACTCAAACATTTGAGTAAATGAAAAGTAAGGTTCTGTTTGGGATAATTTTCGTATTATTTTGTATTTCAGATTATAATCACACTTCTATTTTACTTACTTTTCTGATTGCTTTTAAAACATTTTTTTACTTGTAAGACATTTAAAAAAATTCATTTACTCGTAATAACTTTATAATTATATTTATAAAAAAAATTACAGTCATCCCGAAGAGACGCTCAATGAAAAAGCTATTAGTCTTGATTTGATTTGAAGAACCTCAAGGTAATGTAAATACCTTTCATTTAAAAAATTTATTAACATATTATTATGGTAAATAAAACTTTAATTTTTATGAATTAAATAGGAAAAAAATATTTTTACTCAATCTCTTCTCAACCAAATCACTTGAAATATAATTTTAATTCATTTACATTATTATTTCCTTCATATAGTAAAATACAATGATATACATGCAACCATGTGATGTAAGAGGATTTATCTCTAGCATCCTCACAAAGCCCTTCGACATCTATCATGCTAAGTGTTTGTTTGGATAACTGTAACTTCTTGTTGAGAAAATAAATTATTTGTATGCTGATGTAAAAATCAACATTTTAATACAAAAATTTCTTAAAAATAAAAAATTAATAATAACTAGTAGAAACATGATTGTGATATGAAAAGTAAACAACAACAACAACATCAAGCATTTGTCCCACTATGTGGGGTCGGATATATGAATCTTTTTTCGCCATTATGTTTAAAAGTCAAATTCTCATTTAAATCTAATAAAGAAAGATCATTTCTAATATTTTCTAACCAAGTCTTTTTAGGTCTACCTCTACCTTTCTTAACATAAGTCAAATCTAATACCTTAACTTTCCTAACCAGGTCATTGGGAGGCCTTCGTTTAATGTGACCAAACCATCTAAGGCGACTCTCTCTAATCTTATCTTCCACTGGAGCTACTCCAACCTTTTCACGTATATACTCATTTTGTATCATATCTCTAAGGCTCAAGCCACTCATCCACCTAAGCATCCTCATCTCTGCAACACTTAACTTAGTATTATGCTTCTCTTTTAATGGCCAACATTCGGCACCATAGAGCATTGCAGGTCTCACCACCATCTTATAGAATTTTCCCTTAAGTTTGAGGGGGACTTTTCTATCGCACAATAAGCCCGATACATTCCTCCACTTCAACCATCCAACTTGAATTATGTTGATAATATCCCCATCAATATCACCATCATTCTGAACAATAGATCCAAGATATCTAAAACGTGCACTCTTATTAATGACTTGATCGCCCAAAGTCACAATCCCCTCACTAAGTCTATTGCTACTAAAATTACACTCAATATTTTCAATTTTAGATCTACTCGAGCGAAAACCTTTAGACTCTAAAGTTGACCTCCATAATTCAAATTTACCTTCAACTCCCTCTCTAGTCTTATCAACAAGAAGAATATCATCAGCAAAAAACATACACCAAGCCACCAAGGTACATCCTCTTGCAAATGTCTAGTGAAAACATCCATGCTAAAGCAATAAGATATGGGCTTAAGGCTGATCATTGATGTAACCCAACCGAAATAGGAAAATACTTGGTCAAAACACCTAAGTTTGAACACAAGTAATAGCTCTTGCATACATATCTTTAATGATTTGAATAAAAGTGTTATTAACTCCTTTCTTTTCAAGAACTCTCCATAGCACTTCTCTTGAAACTTTATCATATGCTTTTTCTAAATCAATAAATATCATATGTAAATCTTTCTTATTTTCTCTATATTTATCAATCAAACCTCTCAATAAATGTATGGCTTCCATAGTAAACCTACCTGGCATGAATCCAAATTGGTTTTGAGAAACAATAGTATCACGCCACAACCTACGCTCCATAACTCGCTCCCATAGTTTTAAAGTATGACACATTAACTTAATTCCTCTATAATTCGCACTCATGTGTATCAACTTTATTCTTAAAAATAAGAATTAACACACTCATTCTTTAATGATCTAACATCTTTTTAGCCTTCAAAATAATATTAAAAAGTTTAGTAAGCCAAAAAATTCTTTCAATCTCCAAACCTAAAAGTAAAACAAAAAAAAAAATTATCTCAAACTTACCCTAAGTCTAAATATAAGAGACTATGGATTTTTTAGTTCACCAAATTATGTTAGGTACAATAAAAGAAAAAAAAAAAGTTACAACAAATTTTTTTTTTTTTCCTCTCCTTTACCTTACACCTTTAGACTTTGTTTGCAAATTACAACATCTTCCTTTAAAACCACAAGACTTAGGGCATCTTATCAAATTGATTATAATATATATATATAAACAAACCAAATATATATATATTTAAAAAAAAGCTCAAAAAGAAAAATAAAAAATGATAAAAAAATTGCCCCTTTAATAAATATTATCATACATATTTTTATGAGTGCAAGTAATAACTATTTCATATCTAAAAAAACTATACTTAAATATGCCAGAGAAAGGCAATCACATACTTTTGAGTATCAGACTTTCCAAATAACATGGAAAGACCAAACATGCAGGGTTTAGGTTCCCTTCACTGCTGCAGAATTACAGTAATGATATGGACATTGGAAATTCCTTTCAGAAATTACATGAATTAAAGTATAATGGCTATTTCTTTCTCATTTCCCACACAAATATGCATCAAACATTGAAGTTTCTTTACTTACAGGAGTCATATCCTGGAAAATCCTCTGTAATTCTCATATTGCTCCATGAACTCGTCATTGAATTTTTTGAAGCTGGCCATTATAGCAGGCATATCTTGCTCAGCTGGTAGTATGGTTGTCCTTAGATGAAAAACGCTGTCCATAGAAAAAAAACTGATTATCAGAAATTGTAGAGTACAAAAGTTTCAGAATTGAAGATTCAGATAATCTTTTTTCTCCATTGTGTCTTATTAAGAGTCAAATTATCATTTAAATCTAATTAAGAAAGGTTATTTCTAGTATTTTCAAACCAAGTCTTTTAGGTCTATCTCTACCTGTTTTAACATATCAAATCTAATACATCTACTCTCCTAACCGGCTCATCGGAAGGCTGCCGTTTAATGTGACCAAACCATCTAAGATGAATCTCTCCAATCTTATCTTCCATTGGAGCTACTCCAGCCTTTTCACGTATATACGCGTTTCGTATCTTGTATCTAAGAGAAAAGCCAATCATCCAACTGAGCATCCTCATCTCTACAACACTTAACTTAATATTATGCTTCTCTTTTAACGGCCAACATTCAACACCATAAAGTATTGCAGGTCTCACCACCATCTTATAGTAGTTTTCCTGAAGTTTGAGGGGGACTTTTCTATCACACAACAAGCCCGATGCATTCCTCCACTTCAAACATTCAACTTGAATTCTAATAAATAATATTCCCATCTATTTTGCCATTACTCTGAACATTAGACCCAACATATCTAAAATGTGTACTCTTATTAATGATTTGATAAAAAACAAAAATAATAAAAATAAAAAGCGAACACAAAGAACCCCAAAAAGAACCCAAAAAACCAAGCATGTTATAGCATTTTTGTCACTAGACCAAGATTGAACAAACAACACCGAATTGTAAGGGATTTTGTTAAAAAGAACTGCATCAGATTCAGGCTTTCATTTCAGTCCAACATCGAGGCTTAAAATGGGGCGTGCAAGAAGGTATAGATCAAATGAACTGAAAAACAAAGTGCACAAATTCGAAGAATCTTTCCAAGTTAATCAAGAAGAAGTGGGAGATGATGAAATTGCATGAACAAAACTTGACAAATTATGTAGCTTAAAGGATGAACGGTAACTAAAAACTATTGAGCACTAACCCATCCTTCTGGCCAAATCCTGAGCCTGGAACTGTAGAAATACCAGTAGCTTCCAAGAGCTTAAGGCAATAGAAAACATCAGGAGCCTTTCCAGCCTTTTTTGCAGCTTCAATTGCCTTTGGTGGTAAGCGAATTTGTGGAAATGAATACATAGCACCTGAAATCATTTTTAAAGAACATTAAACAACAATACTAAAGATGCTTGAGAAAAACAAGATGCAGTAGTATTATCAAGGACTCATCACCTTCTGTAAAATTACAAACTACATTTTTGCAGCTATTAAATCCATCAGTCATTATATGAGCTCTTCTCCTAAGGGAATCTAGGACTGCTTTGCTACATAAGATAACAAAAACCCGTCAATGTTAATATGATAATCATAAATTTCTGTAGCATCTAGTAATGTGAGATTACGGCTTCATTTGAGATGGCTTTCTTATCGCTTCTTAAAGCAGTTTTTTAGTAAAAAAATTTAATTTAAGAAGTAACAAGAAAGCCGTCCCAAACGAAGCCAACATCGTGCAAGAAAAAGTAGGGCACGAAACACCATGAACAGGTTTTTATATTTTATAAATTATTAATGTGAATTAAAATATATAGTTTCTACTATTCTGTATTATAAGTAGGACTAGTTTGAGCTGACTTTTACTAAAAGATTCTAAGAAATAAAATAAAATTAAAAGTTTTAAGGGAAGGTTTCGAAGATCCATCCTAACCTCTCTGCAGAGTATTTCAAGTAGGAGATATCACCTGGCTTTGGAGGATTCACCATCAACCCTAGCTGAAAAGAAAAATAAACATATCTCAGAGCGACTCTCTTATAATTAAACATAGAAAAAACTCATTGAATCACTGGAAAACTTTTAGAGTTCCAATCACAACCGACGATTTTCTATGTTGCATCAATAGTTCAAAGTTTTATTGAGAAATATTTCCGGTGCATGATTATCCTATCAATGTAGGGCTTGAGGACTGAATCTATGCAGCCTTTATCTTTGCAAAGCTGTTTTCATGATTCCAGTCCATGGCCTCCATATCATAATGGAGGCAACATGGAAATTACTGTTCTGGGCCAACCCCCTCTAACAATACCACAAAGTATATTGATTAAGCAAAATTTACTTACAAAAATCTGACCAGGGACATTGGGGCTCAGTGAAACTGAAGCAACTTTATAAATTTCATCAACGGTCTGTGGGAAAAACAAAATAGAACTCAGTATTAGCATATAATTGTCAAGCTGCTTTTGTTTTAAAATTAAAATAGCTTTTTTTTGTTATGGAACGAGATAACACAAGCTTCCCTACATAATGATAAAAGTGGAGATTTTACTGCAAAGCTGCTTTTTTTTAAGGAAGAAAGAACTTTGAAAACTTTCTTTCATACTCTTTACTGTCATATTTATCTTCAGCTCAAAAGCTTACAGAAGAAAAATTTTTGGTAGTCCTAAATAACTTCTGCTTTTCAGCTTAAAGAAGTAGCACCAATTCAGAAACAACAATTTTGAACTAAGTAAAACCTGAAAGCATGGCGTTAACTTTATTTACTAAAAAGATAACGAACTATTGGAACTAATATGAGTAATTCTTCAAATGCTAGAGGAAAAGGAAGAAGGCTAAACCTGCGGAGAAAGATTAGTCATCTCAAAGTATCCTCCACGCTGTCCGCATTCGCCCCAGTATCCTTTTGAAACAGTGTGGAAGGAAACAAGTTGCACCTCCTTGCTGATAGGAGGGCCCATATCCAACAATATCTAGCATTATTGAAGAATTTTGGAGTGATAAAAGAGCTTAAAGTAGCACCAATTGGCAAAAAAATGGACTGCAATGCTTAACTGAGGAAATTACCTTTCTAGCACTTATGAAAGGCCGCTCGTCCTGATATATATTTTGTTGATAAACTTCATCTGCAAGCAGGACTAAGTTTTCTCGATAGCAAAACAACAATATTTCCTTTAAATTGGCTTCACTGAGACATTGTCCAGTAGGGTTTCCTGGGTTTATGATCACCATAGCTCGAATCTGAACCATAACAAAATCAGCTTGGCTAAGAAATACAATCAATATGTGGATGTACATAGACAAAAAATTTTAGAAACAAATAGGAAAATAGGATCATACATAATTCGAAGTGGTGTTTCAATTTTATGCTTTATGGTCATCATAAGGAATGTAAAATGGTTATTTTGCATGATTATTTGATCTTTAGGTGACCTTGTAAAGAGCATAGTTACATATTATCTCTAAGTTCATAATTCAGAACAGTTTAACCATATTTCTATTTGATGAAGGTGCCCAATAAGGAACCAATTAGAAAAAACAGCTTTGGCTTGCAATAGTTGAATGCAGGCACTGTTAAACTGATAAAATATAAGTGAGCAATAGCATGTGGGAAAAAATAATCATAGCGAAGACACAAACGGAAACGCATACAAATTTGTGTGGTTTGGTGAGATCGACTAACATCCGTGGTCACATTAGGATCAAATAGTTTCATTAAGTTTCAAAAGAGAGATATCAATGATCTCTCTTCATATAGAGATGATTTAGAGTTACCCGTTTTACGAAATGCATCCACTTGTTGAATTTAATGAAGTAGAAAACATAAACGTTCCATGGTTGATACTAAATATTGAGAGAACATAATCTCTTGTATTAACCAAAGAATGGAGTGAGGAAGTAAATGAAGACTATTGCTGCAGACTGCTTTCTCGCTAGGGGCAAGACACATGCCAGAGTCCAACTGTTGTGTCGTTGAATGAAAGCAATCCAAAATCCCCCTTTCCTTCTTCTCTGTATTGGTGAAGAGAAATCAACTCCCCACTTCCTCTTCTATCCATTTTCTTTGCTTTTGTGAGATACCAAGCTCCTCCAGCAAATATTTAATTTATATTGGTAATAAGGAAAACTATAATTAGTTACAAAATCTCTCCAAAGATTACAAGGTCTTAATAATAACAAACTATAATACCCACTAACCTTTTAAAGCAATTAATTTAAAATCTTTAATACTTTTTTAGAGGCAAGCTCGAAAGTGTATGTACACAAAAGAGTAAAAAAAAAAAGAAACAACGTTTTCTATTTGTGTCTTGTAACCTTTTAATTAAAAAATAATAATATCATAGCAAATACAAAATATTTAAGCATGTATTTCAAATCTCAATCAAATATTTACAATAGAGGAATATCTTGATCTTATTTTGCAAGGATTTGATAAGGGAAAATTTTGGCTTGATAATTTTACCATTGTATGGAAAATCTTTAGGTCTTTATCGCTCATATGCCTTAGTATTTAATACCATAGATCAAAATTTTCCTATGCGTTGGTGGCATCTCCTACTGTACTTTTTGGTGGTGGTGATGTTGAGAGTACACATCTTGTTACCCTATCATTCACCAAGTTACCTTTCATTGCTTTCCAAGTATTAACATCTAAAGTGGCATGACATGCTTTTACAACTAGTTGTCGAATGAAGCTGAAGTTTCTTCTCAAGATAGAAATGTGTCTGAGTTTGTTCAAATTATAAGTGTTTCCATTAGCAATCTTGATTACCACATCTCTAATTTCCATAATATTCAAGGACTGGAAAGACTAGTTTAATTTTATTGGACTATTTGCATTAAGTTTTAGAGGATTCTCGATGTCTTTCACATTGTCATTTATTATGTTAGACCGGTCCAGCCAGTCCATATGGCACCAGCACAATGTAACAAGAGGCGGAAGAGTTCGCCTCCTGTATGAGCCGCACAAGCCGCAAGATCCACGGGAGCCAATTTGGAAGGATTTTTTAGGGAGTTAGGAGGGAAATTTGAATGTAGGGATTGTTTAGAGATTTCCTTTTTGATTTTATGCATTAAATAGTTTGTTTTCCTAGGGTTAGGGCATCTTGAATTTGGCTGAAATTTGAGATCTCTTAGGTTTAGGTTTCCTTTGGGCTCTAGTGGCGTCTAATGAATTTGGGAGAGATCGATCCTTCTCTCGAATTGAGGATCAACTATATCTTGTTATTTTTCGTTTATATTTCATCAAATAATACAAATTATCTACTGTTTTCGTGGTTTTGTGTTGATTTTTATGGAGAATTCTTGTTGTTTTTCGAAGATTGATAGGAAATACTTGAGAACTACAATTGTTTCCCATTAAATTGGTATCATAGCAGATTTTGGGACTGTTTCGGAGTTTTGACTGTGAAAACTTGTTGCTGTTTTCCAGCCGGAAGAAGGGTTATTTGCTGTTTAAAAGGGTTGAATTCCAGATTTTTGATTCTACAAAAATCCGGGTATTGATGGCGGCCAAGAAAATGAATGCAATCGAAGAACGCCTCAAAGTGCAGATCAGACAAATAAAATATGAGATTTTCAATCTACAAACTCAAGCTTCAGATTTAAAGAAAGACATTTCAGCCATCCACGAGAATATAGATAAGAATTTTTCCAACCTGAGGAAGATGTTGAAGAAAATGCTCGAGGGTCAAACCATAATATCGCCGTCGAAGGGGAGGGAAGGCGCCGACAGCCAGGGAGATGGGAAAAATCCTAAGCCAATCAGACAAAGGGGAGATCAAGAGGTGGAGACTCGAAAGGGAGAAGAGAAAACACCTCTCATAGAGCCTATTCCTAGGGAGGAGCCTGACAGAGGGTATGAGGAGAGGCGTGAGGAGGTAGGGCAAGAACGAAGATGTGTTGATTTGGAGAAGAGAGGGGCAAGATTGGAAAGGAAAATAGGTAATTATGATCAAAGGGGGCTGAATTTGAAAGGGGAACAATTTGTTATGATCCAAGGGGTACTGAGTTTGAGAGGACAATGTGAGAATTTGATGAAAGGCTAGGGTATGAACGTAGAAGGGATGATTGGGATACTTGGGGGGAACCACCCTCTTGGGGAATGTGAAATTATGAAGGAAACATAGGGAACAAAGGCGAACTAAGGGTGAGGAAACTGAAGATGTCTATCTTTGAGGGAGATGATGCACATGGGTGGATCTACAGGGTGGAAAGGTACTTTACTGTCAATAGGTTGACAGAGGAGGATAAGCTGACGGCGACTGGGATGTGCTTGGAAGGGAAAGCTTTAACATGGTACCAATGGAGGGATATGAGGCAACCAATAAGGACCTGGAGGGAGTTTAAGAACTTCCTGTTGGAATGCTTCCAAACCAGCAGGGAAGTAGACTTCTACGAGCAGTTCTTCGCTTTGACACGGGATGGTTTAGTGATGGAGTATTGGAAGAAATTCGAGTACCTTGCTAGTTGATTGGACCGTCTTCGTGAGACAGTGCTAGAAGAAATTTTCATGAAGGGACTGATGCCAGAGATCCGGGCAGCGGTGAAAGTAATGAAGTCTCGTGATTTGTGAGAGGCTATGGAGCTAGCTCAGTTGGTGGAGGATGAGAGGCACCTGGAGAGAGAGACGGAAGGCAGCAACTCAGGAGGTCTAAACGGAAAAGCCACCACCTTTCTGGCACCCAAGGAGCCGACGTTGGGTACTCTTTGGGAGACTTCAAATGAGAAGACAGTAGGAGTAAGACTGGGGGACAACTTTAAGAAGGTCACAGAAACAAAATTACAGGATAAAAGGGAGAAGGGGCTCTGTTTCAAATGTAACGAGAGGTATACGACGGGCACAAGTGTAAGGATCGAACTCTTCAAGTTCTTACCATTTGTGATGCGGAGGGAATTGAGGAGGTTGTTGTGCTTCCACCTTAAGGACAAGGTGGATCTTTAGAAGGGGAGTATTGTTAGGCCGGTCCATTGGACCGGTCCAGCCTGTCCTGCTCAACGTAAGAAGAGGCGGAAGAATCCGCCTCCTGTATAAGCTGCACAAGCTGCAAGATCCACGTGAGCCAATTTGAAAGGATTTTTAAGGGAGTTAGGAGGGAAATTTAAATGTAGGGACTATTTAGAGTTTTCCTTTTTAATTGTATGCATTAAATAGTTTGTTTTCCTAGGGTTAGGACATTTTGAATTTGGCTGAAATTTGAGATCTCTTAGGTTTAGGTTTCCTTTGGGCTCTAACAATGTCTAGAGAATTTGGGAGAGATCGATCCTCCTCTTGAATCGAGGATCAACTGTATCTAGCTATTTTTCGTTTAAATTTTATCAAATAATACAAATTATGTACTGTTTTCGTGATTTTGTGTGGATTTTTGTGGAGAATTCTCGTTGTTTTTCAAAGATTGATAGGAAATACTTGAGATCTACAAGTGTTTCCTATCACGTTGACTCTCATTTGGCTTTGCCTTGTTTGTGCTTCTTTTGATATCATTCACTACATGGACAGATTTGTCTTGACATCACTATCCACTTGAGTGATGTAAAGACATGTTTCTATTGTGATTCGACTATTTGATGTGGTCTTGAATATATATATATATATATAATTTTTTTTAATATTGAACGTTATGAATTTTATTCTGTATTGTCCATATGATGGAAAACAACCCATGATCATGCTGGGTTCAGTGCTCTCAGGTTGGTTCACACCATTGTCCTTCCACTTGTGTCATTGTTTTTTGCTCCTTGGTGGCTGCTTGGGTGATTATTTATGGGCTATTTTTTATTAGGCTTGGCCCATTTTTTCCCTTAGTCAGCTGGCTGCTCGATTTTCCTTGCTGGTTGTTCAATTTTCCTGTTGGCTGCTTGGTTTCCCTATTGGCTGCTCAGTTTTCCCTATGGTTGCTCAGTTTCCCTGCTACTAGCTGCCTGATTTTCCCCTTGCTGATTCCTGTGCACGATGCTTTGACTTCTTCTTGTGAGGACTGATTTGGGTGGGTCTTATTGGCTATTTTGGAGGCACATTTATGCAATCAAATTAATGCTTTTTCCCCCTCCTATATATAGTGATTGAATCTCTATTGTGGAAGGTTGTCGGTGAAGTGAAAAAAAGAGTGAAACATGTGAGTTTCTTCTTAGCTTGCGAGTTGTCTTCTCCATAATCCCTATTTCTTCCTCTCAACCTTCTTTCTACTTCTTCCCTACATATTTTCCCTTCCACCAGTATATTTCTTCTCTAAACATTGAGA